CTCACAGCAACCTCCAACTCCTGGGCTCAAGAAATTCTCTTGCCTCAGCCTCACAAGTAGCTGGGACCATAGGCGCCTGCCACAACACCCGGCTATTTTTTGGTTGCAGCTGTCATTGTTGTTCGGCAGGCCTGGGCTGGATTCGAACCCACCAGCTCAGGTGTATGTGGCTGGCATCAGCCGCTTGAGCCACAGGTGCCCAGCCACAGTAATGATTTCTAAGTGGAAAATGGGGGGGGGGGCATTTTGAGAATGAGTGTCAGTGTGTGAGTGCCTTCTTCAGGTGTTACCAATCTCCTTTGGAGATCCAGGAGGATCTGTTAGGGGAGGTGGAGGATTGCAGGCTACTAAGCTCAGGTACAATGTTGTAAGTATTGTCTTCAGAGGTTTTTTTTTTTTTTTTTTGAGACAGAGTCTCACAGCTCACAACAACCTCAACCACACTATGGCCTTCTCCACCACTGCACTGAGTCCTGTGCAATATACTCTCTCTTCCTACGTTTAGCCTGAGCATAACAATGACATTATTGTACATGTCCTAAAACCTCTCTTATCTGTGGGAGAAAGACTTACAAATTCCAAGTTTAAAATGTTAAAATGAATATATACGGCTGTGGAACGTCCCTTCCTGCAGATGGTTTTACGAGGGAGGGATGCAGAAAGCTAACACTTAGTAAACCAAACTGTGACTGTGCTACAGAAGAAACAGGAATTTGCTGCAGAAAGCATTTGCCTGAATAAGTTCAAATAATAGAATAAAATTCCCAACTCCCAATGAAATTTCCATTTTTCCTGCACAATTATGGGTGGCTTCATGGAATAGTGGTCAGGGATTACAGATGTGGAATGAATGAAGCAGCACTGTCCTGGTGTCTAGTTTCTCCAATCAGCCTTGCCTCATGTGCACTACTGTGACAGTTAATTTTTATTCCTACATGCTGGTGTTTGAACATTTAAAAACAGATCCTCTGGTTTGCTCTCCTGCATGTATTCAACATCTGAACTGAAATGAGTTTTCTTGGTCTCGTTAAGTATAACAGACCTCTCTTGATTACCAAAGGACAACGTTACCACCAAAGACAGTTGTCCACTTGATTTTTAAGAAATCGACTTTTGTGTGTGTGCGTGTGCATGCATATACATACACACGCACACACACACTTATTTAAATCAAGAGTCAAGAAAAAGGCACCAAAAGAGGTGCCTTATTAAGTTGGCAGGGTGATAACACCTTGTACTGGTGGATTTGGGTAGAGTATCACCAAAGCAGGAACAGGAGTTACCGAGAAATTTTGAGAGAACTAGCTCATATTCGGTTGTCTAGCATCACACCTGGTTGTTGTTTGTACAGTGTTAGAAAAGGGGACCACACAGCATGGGCAGAGGGGTTGGGGGTGAGGAAGAAAGCTTTGCTATCAGACAGAGGCTTCCAGTCCTTGTGGGACTGGGCTGAGAACAACAAGGTGCAATAAGAGGAATCAGAACAGAAAGAAAAGCATTTCTTCTCCCAGGGTCATGCCAAATTCTGCTTCATCCCCACTTTCAGGCCTGCCATCACATCTCCAAACCCCTTATCAGCCAGTTTCCCAGCGACTCCAAGGCCACGGTCCCTACCTGGCTGATACCCCTGCACAGTATTCCCTGCCTACAGCCTATGCTTTTCAGTGGGTCTATGGGTCACAATTCCCCTTCTTTGCACCTGGTGATTCTCCCTATTAAATCAACAGCCCAGAAAGCTGCCCCAAGTGCTACAGGTAAGCCAGGCCAAATGAGAATAGCCAATGTTAACATGTTCTGCGATGGCATGTTGTTGGGGTGGGCCCAGTATTAATGTGATGAGGCAGCTTAATGCAACTCCCCTTCACACGGGCAGGTGTGGGGGAGGAAGAGTGGAGGATCAAATCAGCAGCTGCATCACAGAATTCGTGTCTGAATGATCTTTCCACCATGTGATCAGTTCTAGCATGCTTTAAACAGTATCCATTGGCATGCAGAAGGATCAGCTGCTCTTAGTATCTTACCCTCATCCCTTCAAATCGTGATAAGGCTCTTAAGGGTCTCAAAGCTCTTAGGGTCCTAAGGGACTTTATGGCACCTAGTTCCGAGTAGCCCAGGGCATTAGCTATAAGGCTGACTAAAGAGACCTACACGGAAACAGAAGAGAAAAACAAAAACAAAAAAGGAAACACACACACATTAAAAAAAAAAAAAAAGGAAAAAGAAAAGAAAGAGGTTCCAGAGTGTTAGAATAAAGCCCCTAGCCCTGATTAAACAGGTTGGGCCCCCCCCAGGTAGAGGAAGTGGGTAACACCAGCTGCCTACTTCAACTTGACTCAAACGACCTGGAAGGAAAGGTGGTTGAGAGAGGCAGAAGAAAAAACACAAAGGGAAGAGAAGGCAGAAGAACATACATACAAGTTGGAAAAGGGAAGAGGCTGGAGGGAGAGGGGGAATGAGGAAATTCCCCTGGAAGGAGAGGAGCCTGAACAGGTGACAAGAACCTTACCCTCGCCCTTTACAGCCTCTGCAGCTCCCGGAAGGTCCCATTAAATTAAGGCAGACAAATTTAATGGTACCTATGGAAAAGAATACAGATAAATACACATACTCCACACCAGCTGCCCCCTCCTCAGCTCATTCATCATTGGATTTCCAACAGGGACAAGCTCTCTTACTCCTGGTTGACAAAAAATCATTTGTTTGAGAAGCTGATGAGTCACTGCATCAACAATTGAAATATATTCAGTAAGTATCACAGCTGAGTTTGCAGTTCCCAAGAAGAACCCAAGAAGGAAACTTCTTGACAGAATTTTGGCTCCATGAAAACTCATTTATGTCACTCTTCTATCTCTCATCTTTAACTATAATCATTCTTCCACCTTTTAACTACAACCATAACCCCCTTGTGGCCATGAGAACTTGGGTGAGTCTAGACAACTGAATCCATACTTTCCCCTGTAATTCTCGTTCTTTCCTTTCAGAACGGCCCAAAATGACCTGGCTCTGGTCTCTTGTTTCCAGGACAATCTTCTATGACTTTCATCAACAGAACAGCTAGAAGAATTCTTGGAATTTACTTTTCCATTTTATAGACAAGGAAATCGAGACCCATACACAAGAATTTGCCCAGTGTCATGCTAGCAAGTTCTGAAGCCAGGACTGAAAACTCATGCTGCCTGGCTTCTGCCCAGCGAGCTCCCCTTCAGTCCTCAATGGGTGGACTATATGACAATATTCCAACAGCATTATCAGTGTCTGAACAACCCAGAGTTGAGTATATTGCCTCAGTCGGGTGAAGCAGGCTTGCAGGTCTCCAGGCCTAATCTCTTGGTCAAATGCCTTTCTGCTCTTCCAGAGGCAAACTTAAACTTACCTTGTTCTACCAGAGCTCTCAGAGAAGCTCCCATGACACAATACTCACTACCTTGGGCTGCTTGGGCCTGATCTGAGATAGACAGACAGCTCTTCAGGGGAGATCAGACTTAAAAATACCTTCAGTTTGACAAATCCTGGAATGTTTGGGCTCTGGGTTTCTTAGAGCAGTATTTTTTCTTATTTTACCACAAATTCTGAGATAGTTTAAGATATCCCCTTCAACAGCTCTAAAATTCTCTGGAGTGGTAGTTGCAGATCTGCTTAGCTTAAACTGATGATATTTTAAAGCAAATTTAGAGAGAAAGAAAAGAAACAATCTACAACTTAGTTTCATTTGCTGCTTTTTATCTGTATCCTAGAGCTTTAATTCTTTGATTCTGTATCTCTGAACTGCACATACACAATTTTCAAAAGTGAAGACATTTATAATTAAGCAGAAGGAGTGACAGGAGTAGAAATGTAAGGTCAATGACCTAGCAAGGGTCAAGATAGAGAAGGCTTAAAGGCTTCAGTTTTATAAAGGATGATCTATCTATGCATGTGCTTGTAATCCATCAGTGTAGGTATCTCCTCTGGAGCCCCAGATAGAGTCCAAAGCAAATTTGGAAGTAAATCTTCCCCTATTAGGCTACCCTAATGTTCTTTAAAGGGTATGTGATCCAGAGGTCAATCTCTGCCCAAAACAAGGGCCTCAAAAGCCTTATCTAGAGCACAGCAATACCACCCAATCACTTTCTGTCTACCGATCATTATCTGTGAGAATGTATATGGAGGTATCTCCTGCTTACTATTTCCAAGTGCAGCCAATTCTTAACCCCGAATAATCTAAAACTGCCAGATTCTTAGTGAGGCCTCAAAAGGTACTGCTGGGAAGCAGTCCCATCTCAACTGAGTACCTGAGTTCAAAAGTCACAGTTCACTTTGTGAAACTTTGCCAGTAAAGACTGCAAGAAACCAAGCTTTGAGTGTCTATAGGATCTTCAGGGTAGGTGACCTGTCTGATAACAAAAGGCCTATGTAGGGAGAGGGGTGGAGGAGGCACCAAGGGTGATTCAGAGCATGGTCTAACCGCTGCTGAGAGATAATCTGTGGCTCAGATGATTAATCTGGTCAAGCTCTCCTAAAACAGGATGAATGAGGGTCTTATCTGGGTTATTCCTTAGCAGCTGAGGGCTCTTCTTATAATCCTGAGTCTCCAAATTAAGCCCTGCCTAGAGATAATCCCAATATTGCTTACAGTATACTTTAAGGAAAGAATCCAACCTTTAAAAAGAGAAATTGAGAGATGTCAAAATTCAGGGCATCTGTGGCTGTGGGGATGGAAAAGAAAAGGATAGAGATACTAGGTGGCTTTCTCAAAATGAAGTGAACATTTTCAAGTGGAGAATGTTTTCAGTAGTCTGAATTCAGGATGTAGTGAATGGTCTCTCAAAGTTCTCATACTTGGAGCTGATATGCTGGCTAACCTCCATAGACGTGAGATAAATTTCCTTGGGAAAAGATGACACCATCTTCAGTGCAGTTAAGGACCTAAGCAAAATAAAATGTTCCTGTTTGGGAACTCACGTAGCTTACAAAGAAGAGAATTAACCTTCAAAGTTGTGTGGATTATCCCCATGACTCTGAAAAGCACCCTCTTCACATTTCGAGGGAAACAAAGAAATGAAAATCCACTAGGGAACATACCTGGTGATGAATAACAGATTTGGGCATCAAGTCACCTGGGCATGAAATAGGAGGAAGATAATCTCTGAGATGGTGCTGAGTAAGTGCCTAACCTGCCGAATGTTTCAAAATGCCAAAAGAACCAGACATTTTACTCAAATGAACAGCAAAAACTCTAAAGTTTCAGCTGTTTAGGTGCTGGTCCACATCTTATTCTCCCATCTGAAACTCAAAAGTGGTAACCAGTGGTGTCACTGTGAGGGACTGGGGATGTACCCACTTAATTCAAGTCTGCAGTCAGACTGCAGTTGCCCAGGCAGGCAGTGTGAGCTCCCCAGGGGCTAGGACCATGCATGCCCATCCCCCTGTGATTTGTTATGGCTTCTGGAACAGGTCCACACAGAGAATGTGCTCCAGTTTATATTGTCTACTCATAACTGGTACAGAGGTGTTCACAGGAGCTAATGTTAGGCCCCAGGGCAACGTAATAATCCAGCAACACCCCAAAGCTATGAATTCTTGTCACTTGGCTATAAAAATGTCATTAAAATGTTTGTTAAATAAATGGTGATGTATAGGACTGTTGATGCTTTCAGCAGCATATTTGGGTACCAGAGGCATACAGGATACCTGTATGTATCAATATCCTCAAATTCTGGGATGGCTCACTCCCAAGAGAAGAGGAAGAATGATTGAGGTTAGGGTAGACAGTGGAAGGAAAACTCATGGTGGGGAAGCTTTGTTCCAAGTAACAGCTTCTCTAGAGCAGCGAGGACACCTGTCTGAGTTCAGGCATCCCATTGGACTCCAGGTGGTCCTGAGGAGTTAGTGTGAAATGAAGATTATATGGCCTTTCTCTAGAAAGAGAGCTGACCTAGTCTCACTTAGGTTTTCTGTGCCTTATTGTCCCAAACCCACTCCTTAAGTCTCAAAGCTCCAGCTTTTGTTGGCTGGAGCTAGAGGTCCTTCTACCAGAAGGTGGTATCAACAGTTGCTAAAGGGTTTCACACTGGCACCCTCTAGGGCCACACCTATTTGTTTCACCTTAAGGGCACAGGTGGGTGTGCCACCTCATTTAGATGTCTCCCCAAAGGCTGGCTTTTTGAAATGGAGGGCATGAATGAAGGCAAGGTGACATCTCTGGGAAGGGTCACTAACAATGGGAGCTGTGGACATCATTATTGGTGAAGAGTGCTGGGCTCCTGTTACTTGAGGGAGCTTTCTTTCTTTCTTTCTTTTTTTTTTTTTTAGACAAAGTCTCACTTTGTTGCCCTCAGTAGAGTGCTGTTGTGTCACAGCTCACAACAACCTCAAACACTTGGCAAGTGATCCTCTTGTCTTAGCCTCCCAAGTAGCTGGGACTACAGGTACTGCCACAATGCTTGGCTATTTTTAGAGCTGGGGTTTCACATTTGCTCAGGCTGGTTTTGAATTCCTGAGCTCAAGCAATCCACCCACCTTGGCCTCACAGAGTGCAAGGATTATAGGCATGAGCCACCAAGCCCAGCCCTCCTGAGGGAGATTTCTATGCTGCTCAATCCTAGATTCCAGAAGCACTCTATAATCTGCCAGAAACACATATGCTAAATGTACCAAGCCAGCCTCTAACCACTCCACTTTTGTGGTACTTCTCAGCCCTCTGCAGGAAGTGACTTTTCCATAGGCCCTGGTCCTGCAATTCTTAAATTCTCATTCATCCTTTTTGAAAAAGACTAATTTGGCTGAAAGAAAAAAGTTTTTGTTATTATACGGAATAAGAGAACAGTCATCATCATTAGAAAAGCCAAGAAGGAATAAGTGCTGGTGAACAAGAGAAATAGTTAGGTGATGCAGCTTCCAACCTGAAAATAACATGGGAGGTCGTGGCCATTACACCTGAGGTGGTCCTGGAACCTGGAGGACAAAAGGATTTCTCATTTGATGATCACTGTAGAAATGGTACTGTGTGGGTGGATGGTGACTTATCCTGGTGTGAACTCCCCTTTCCCTGATAAACAGACTTGTTCAGATGAGTCTCATATCAAGACTTGGGTGGGATGAAAATGGTGATGGCGACATCCAGTAGGAGAGTGCACAGAGATCCACTACCACTTTCAGCCCAGCA